GCACCGCTTGCAATGCACTGTTGAAGGTCTGAAGGGTATAGAGAGCCAGTAAATTTACAAGCTGTGAGGCATTCCATGAGATTGGCGGGCCGCTTGGAGCGAATGTCGGATTCTTAAAATCATGACCAAGTGGATACCCCAGCAAAAGAGACCAATAGGCGGGCCAAAAAAACGTTGGGCAGAAAATGTGGAAGAGAGTGTAGAAGATCTGAGAAGAATGGGTAAATACACCAACTGGCGCAGGGAGTCGAAGGATTGTGACAAGTGGAGGAATATTGAGTAGGAGGCCGGGATCCACAAAGTGTTGTAGCGCCACAGGATAGAAGAGGCATTCCATCACAGCCCTCAGAGGTGACAACGTATCCGCAACCTTCTTTGTTTGAAGTTGTCTGTGGATACTCACAAACAGGTGGAGTGTAAGTTCATAAATAATTTCAGTGTTACACAAGTGGTAAAATTAAAAATGTTGTATAAGCGACTTTAATATAAATAAAATGAGAACATCATTAATGTACTCGAAGTCAATTAAATACGCATTATAATTTATATGAGACTACATGAGAAGCCCCAGCTTCCAAGTAAAAAAAGACACAATTCACCCGGAAAAAAGTTCTGAGGTATACCACACTTAAAAAATACAGCCGATTTGAGAACTACCTCTTTTATTTGAAGTCGTATGATAAAAATAACGCAGAACGATTCTAATATGCTATAGTCATTCACTTTTGACGTCATCTTTAATATAACGGCATAATTTGCTTATCAGGTTTATTTTCCATAAACTTCAGTATTTATTATCTGCCAAACGATTGAAAAATCTGCAAATAGCTTCTTATATAAAAAAATATAAATTTATAGATCTTTAGCAACTGTATGCTTTTTTTTTCTTTTAATATATTTCTGCATGAAAGTTCGTACTTGGGAAGACAACTTTGCGAAAAGTGTACAAGTAAAAATAAGACCCAATAAGAAAAAGACAAACAATAAAAAAAGTTAACAAAGTCATTGTTGGGTTAAACTAATTTGATATTAGCGTTTTATTTTTCACTAATTATTAAATCACTCCGTCCACAACAGCATATTGTCCACTGTTAAACATACGCCTCCTCCATACAAATTTAAAATAGTTAAATAAAATTCTAATATTGACTCCTTTTTGAGAAGGGGATGGTAAAATGGTGATTTCCTTAGGTTCCCTTTCCTTATTAATTACAAAAAAAGTGAATAGTGTTGTCTAACTTCAACTGAAAAATTTAAACAAAAATTTAACTAAATTTGTGTACAATCTATTTGTTAAATAAAATAAATCGGGAGAGCTAGTTAACAAAAATAAAAAAGGATCTCTTTCATAAGAATGAATCGATTATCGAAGAAAGAGGTGCGTTAAGGAGGAGAGGCGGGCGGAAGGGGCCTCGTGACACCTGACCGCAGCCATTTTGGCCCGTGAAATATGTTTATTTGTCATGGATGCCTTTTGTTATTGAAATTGTGTTTGCCTTTACTCCTTCATTATATTGTTCGATTATGTTCGAGCTAGAACTCGTTGGTGGACGTTGAATGCCAGAATAGACACGGTCTGAAGATTTTAGAATATTGATTGTTGATACTGAGAAATGAGAAATAAATTTCAATTAAGTAACTATTGAGCATGATTCTGTATGTACTTGTTTGGATAGCGAGAGGCGGTTATATCCGTGATTATCTCGTCAAACTATGTTATGATCGAAACCCATTCGGAACAACAATGCTGTTTCAGATGTTATAGTATTTTTTCAATTTCTATAATTGCTTATTACCTACACTATACCTACATACATTTATTGTTTTTGAAAGATTTTTTTTTTTCTAAAATTGTAGAAAAGGACCATAAGACCAAGAATGATCTTCAAAAATCTAATGGTAGAACTATACGCCTGTTTATACATACAAATCAAAAAATATTATTGCTATCCGCAGATTTAATTCCTCTAAATATATTCTCAAAGGAACGATCAATCACAACAAATTCACAAGTCATCGCCTTTTAAAAACGCATTGTGTGCATTGAGGATGCGTAAACTCTAACAAACATTGTCACCTCGCTGCGACTCGAACTTCAGACAAAGGAGCGTTCACAAAACGCACAACACGACAATGGTGTGGTGGGTGTAAAAATGTTAAATATTGAAGCAGGTCGGAGCGGCCTAGCCCGCGGCGATTTCCCGGGAAACCATCCCGCGGCGCGGGCCACGGTGCGGGCTTCGGCGACGCAGCGTCTCACACGGCGAAACGCACAAAAAATCCAATTCACAGCAAACACTTTTTTGTCAACCAGATTTTATCTTGTCTTATATCAACGTTCAACATGGTAAAGTCAGATAATGATGTTTCATTCCAAATTAATAAAACAAACATCGCGCGATCAGGAAAACATGGTGACACTTTTTTTGGTAACTCAAGTATTCAAATATTTGTACGATTAATCGTCTATACGAGATCTATATCTATGTAAAAAATATATCGCCTCTCTGACATTTGTGAGCAAGTGGTTGTGTGCGTGCGTCTTTTTTGTATAGAATTTAAATTGTGCGGGCATGAGATGTATCGGACTCGGTCTGGACGCAGGTGCAAACATGCTAAGTGTATTCTTATTGTTGTAAGGGTTTGTGTTATCAGTGACACTATCTCCGGCATTCGACAAATGTTATAGCTGTCAAAGGTGTGACGTCAGCCAAATCGGACCAAGAGTTGCGCGCCCGCACCGCCTGTTCTTTTGTCGTGATCAAAGTTCCGATATCAAGCTCTTTACATTCTGAGGTAGTTGCGGTAGACATTTCAAAATCTTTACAATCAGTAGATTATATAACACATTTTTCTTGTAGTAATTATAAAAAAAATATCCATACACAATTAAATGTAAAACATACTTAGTAAGTATTGTTTTCACTGGCATTAGCGACGGAACGCTAGCAGTAAATTCAGGAAGGCATTACAATCAATTGGTATCAATAATCGTCATCCCTGGGGGGCCGTTTTCACTATCTTTGCCTTTGTGTCCTCGCAAAAGCCATTTAATGTATGAACTTTATATTAACACTGAGTTCCTACTAAAGTACAAAAAGTGCATGTGTGCGTTTGTTAAAAAAAGGTAATATCATATCAACTATTTACATCAACGATTTGTAAATTAATTAAAACAAAAACAGCTTCTGTTTGTAGAACTCGAAACAGCTAATTAACGAACGAATGAAGATTTATGTACTGCGTTGTCGATATAAAGTAACGCTTCCTTTATGAACCTCAAAACGTCCTAATTACTACTCGGGACGAAACAAAACGAGAAGCTGGGAGACGCCCAAACGCTCTTGTGACAGAGAATTAATTGCTCGTGGCGACACATGCGGAGCGGGCGCGGCGACGCAGGCGGTCGCGCAGACAAGCTCAGCGTTTAGCGTGTAGCGGGAATCATGTTGTGCCGTACGTTTTATGGAAGCTAGTTTGAAAATTATTCAAAAAATACGAATGATGAATTAATAATTTAAAAAGTATAAAGTTTTTTTTTAATTCTTCTAATCAATTTATGACAGATAAATTTCTCGTTACTTTTTTATATAGGAGAGGGTGACAAACGAGCACACAGTCCACCTGATGGTAAGTGGTTGCTGTGACCCATAGACATCTACATATATCTTCGATTACGAATCAAAATGCAGTTGTGTTGTCACCCGTGAGGACTAAGATGGAATGCCTCGTTTCCAATAAAAAGGGTCTCCGGTTTTCTACACTCACCATACGAAACACAGCAGCATTAAGCTACTAGTTTACGCTGGTATTCTGTGAGAGCGTAGGCCTTCCCCGGTCGAGCCGACCCATTCGTCCATTCAATCTAATACAGCTTATCAAAAGTCCACTGCCGAACATAGGTCCCTCCACAGATAGCCTCATTGAGGGAATATTTGCCATATTTTTCACGCCTGGCAAACGGGTTTACAACTGCTGTTATTCAGCTGTTATCAGGAAGATACTACCACTCATCTCCTGGTTTAGTATTCCTGTTCTGTCGCCTCTTACGACACCCAGAGGATGATCTGGGGTATTGCCGTCACCACTAAGTTAAACGCACATATTGAACTTGATAGTGGAAATAAATTCCAATGTGCAAACAGTTTAAGTCGACATATACGACAGAACATGAAAAAATCGTATTTCATCATTACCATTCCTCATGTTTAAGAAATTCTCTAATGAGATAACCAAATTGTAATAAATTAGAAAAATCAAAAAAAAAGGGTTTTCAAATTTAACGATTCTGGAATTTTCAAAAAGTCAAAGATCATTAGCGAAGTCAGTTGCGAGCCGGTCATCATTGGCGACTGTATATTTGTGGCAGTACATGTGGCATACTTAGAGCTTATATTTAGCTCGGGTGAAAACTTTAATCGTCACCGTTGTGCACGCGTCAGCCGCACTGTCCGTCTGTCGACGGTGACGCGCGCGTGTGGCCATTTGATAGACAAAAAATTATGTGCCACCTCCCTTTGTTCGGACTGGGCATACCTTTCAGCAAGATGCAATTAGTGTATAGGAATAGAATCCGTCGATAGTCAGCCGACAACGCGATGCAATTTCAAACGTTTAGCTCTCTGATCTATTTTAGAAATCAAATGATACAAACAAGAATGGGTTGAGAGATGCCAAATAAAACTGCCAGACGACTTATTTATGCGCGTACCGGTTAACTAGATGGGTTCATCATGCACATCGCGACAAAATTCTCGATCGAATTCGACACTAATCTGGATGATTGACATTTCGCCACTGTGCGATTTTCCGGAAGTTATCTGCCTCGTACAACTACTAGAATTAGTTGACACCTGCTATTTTTCAAATATGACTTTCAAAAAAAGAACATACTACTGCAAAGCACTTGTAATTCATTCGGTATTACCGACAGCGATCACGTACAATTAGGATAGCCATGAGCTTTTTTACAGTGTTTTCTAGGCATAAATGAAACTTACGAGTTGGTTTTGATATGCTGTGACGGCAGTGAAGACGCATTCCGGGAATATGAAGGTCTTGAACTCTTCTTGTTCGAGGTCGGTGATCGGAGCGTTGATGGCACCTTCTCGCCGCAGTACCAAATGTATGCGCGGTTGATACTTGTGCATTGAATTCAACACCAACTACGGAAAAATTGTTATTTTTAATCAGACGAATAAGATTTTTAATTATATCACAGGATTAGAAATCTATATACATAAAAATTACGTGTCACACTGTTTGTCTACTTCTAAACTATTGAACAGATTTCAATAAAATATTGCACAATGTTTAGTCCAACTTAAAAGATAGGATAGTTTGGTCCAATTTAAAAGATAGGACAAGATTCACGTCGTTCACTTCAGCCTATCAAAAGTCTATAGGAACTGCATTTGCCATAGTCGCCACACTTACAGGCGGGTATGCGACCGTAGTTTTTTATTATTTTGAATTGTTATACTTGTTGTTTCATTAAACTTAATTCAACTTATACACGAAAAATGAAAAGCATTATACCATTATGAATTTACCATACATTAATGTTATGTAGAAACATAGTCTAAGATCTAACAATTTGTGTTTGGCGTGATTTTTAATTCGGATGCCAATCGAACTCCAAAACCTATAACTACCCTAGCCACGTAATTATTACTAAGCACTATTACGTGTCCTACGCAGTTTAGAGCTTTTGATAATATCAGATTGTTATCGAGTTATCGGAATAGGAAGAAGATGGCTAATAGTTGTTTCCATCACGATAAGGCATAGCATTTGGCTAAAAAACACACGAATTGTATCCGCTTACGTATTGAACTCCATAGCCACGAAGGTTTTGGATTTCGACAAGATGCAGCTTTCATCATGTGTCATAGATTTTTTACATCTGTATTAGCTGACGCGGCCACTTTACTTATAGATTGCAGTTGAATTAGGTAATGGTAATAAGCTATTAATAAGTAACTAACCTGTCCGTTCTTGTCCATCTCGTTGTTGGTGAGCTTGACCTTCTCGAAGGAGACGACCTGCTTGCGCAGCTGGTCGCCGGCGAAGGGCGAGTCGGGGTGCGGGTAGAGGCGCGCGGGCGCGGGCGGGTCCGCCTTGCCGGCCACCAGCCACGACGAGCGGTGGTAAGCGTAGCGGTAGCGCTTGCCGTCCACCGGCACCACGTCCAGCAGTACAGCGTAGCGCGCCTCCGCGCGGCACCCCGCGAACGACACGCGCACCGTCGGGAACATGCGCCTACCGAAAGTATTACGCATATCAATCAATCGAACAATATATTTTATCATCGTGATCGTCAGCATTTAGCTCCGCAGCTAGACAAAGCTCGTTTCAAGAACACACTAAGAGAGAGTTACCCATACTCAACGGTCTGCAGAACTTGGGAACGATTTTGTGCAGATTTTCTGTCATCAGACGATCATCATAGTTAAGTTCGTTGGTCAACACAGCACAGGTACAGTACAACTTGTACCACTTGGGGAAGAGGTTGACACTTGGAAAAAGTTTACATATTTCTCTTACAGTATTTATTTTACACAAGTGCGAAAATAAATATTCACATCCAATATGTAAAAATGGTGGCTTAAAGACTTTAAGCTCGTTGTAACTTTACATGCAGAGCGATTAACACGGGTTTGATTCCCCGGCACAAACGAAATGTAATTGCAATATTACTTTACTGTGTAGAATGGTACGAAAAGTGACTTCCTCTACGCAACCTAAACTTTAATAGCTAATGTAACCAAAAAATATAAAAATATAAAATAAAAATATAAATATAACTTTATATACTTCACAGAAGTTGGTTTGATTATTATCATTTTTTTAAAACGTGCAGTTTTTTTCTTATATTTTAACTTTTCCGATTAACATTTCGAAAGTCAAGGCATCGTTGTATTTAACTTTAAAAACGTTGTAACTATAAAACTACGTAGTACTATTATTTATTCTGTGCTATAACACAGAAGTTCCAAAAGCAATACTAAAATCTAAATATTAATATATAAATACTTCTGTGTCTTGAACACCTAAAATATTTTTTTCATTATAATGAAATTTACGATTCCTTCCATGTGCGTAAAGTTTTTCGTTTTATTTTTCTTTATTTTAATACTCGCTGTGAAAACTTCCTACATCCATTGTTATGTTAAAGCGTAAATTTTCACATTAACGCAATTATTCGACAATTACTTGGTTGAGCTGGAATGACTGCCACCTGAGACCGGCACCAATCGTCTTTCGCTCATTAGAGCAAGGGTTATCGCGAATTATCGTAAGCAATTAGTACAACAATACGGGGGCAAATAATCTGATAGCAAAAATGAGAAATTGTGTTTTTTATATTTGCTATTAGCTTTACTTAGCTCCGTTTTGTAAAGTTTATATTTTATAAATATTCTAAACGCAATTGTATTTTTTCAAAATGTGAGCACCATTGCTATATTTAGGTACCTTCCCCTTTACGAAGCCACTGTCAGCAATAATAAATATTTAGAATAAAAAGGTAATAAAATATGCCCATGTTAAAGAATGATAAAGATGAAAATCGTATAACTTTTTTTGCCGCCGTGAGCAAACATATAGGGCTTATTGTGACTGCTTTTATACGAATGTGACTCTAAGCTATCGCTCCCCTTCCCCTTTTTAACGGAGACATTCTTTAACGTCTCCTGTTGGAGAAAGATGAATGGGTAGACATTTTTGTAAAGGCATACATTTTTGTTTACTGTAAGTAAAATTGCTTGTGGTTGGTTGACATTAAGGGTCTTATTACATGCTTCTATGTAACATTTACGTTAACAGGAGAGAAGTTTACGAGAAAGAAAACAAAAATAAAAATCGAAAAAACGTGAAAGTAATATCTTAAATCTATAACAAGAAACAGATCATAGACTGTTAAAGAAAAAAAAAACTGGAAAAAATAATATTAAGATAATAAAGTCGTTGTGCACAGAAAGGAGTGACATAAAAAGTGGTGTCGGTAGCGGGCGCGTGAAACACAATCTTCTAATCGACACAAAATGGTAGTCATTGAGGCGATGAGAACGGAAACAACAAATCTAACGTAAGTTGAGAAGTCGCTTCACCAGGCCTCTCACTTTTTGTGTGGTGGGGGGAAACAGTTGATAATTTGCGATCAGATGATCGTACTTTACTCTATGATGCCGTGATGCCATCGGCTTCGGCTTGTGACCCCACATTAGGACAGCATTGATTCGCTCGTCGGCCACCCATGGCGTTTTCTCAACGTGCATACATAAGTTATTTACGACACAAATTTCATAATTTACAATACGATTGTGATTGGCGTCATTGGTAATAGAAATTTAATGCCTCGCTATACAACAGAGGGCTCTCGCGTTTGTGTAACAAAGGCGAAACGATAGGAGATTCGCAGATTGAGGGAGGACGAAAATAAGAATACCGTTAACAAGATTTATGCATGTTTAGCCGTGGTCGCGCGCGTCGATTTGTGAGACGTTTCATACGGCATTCTTGATGGTGCGCGCATAAGCACAGGCAATTGCGCGCGTGCGTTAATGGCGACACTCGACGCATAGCACGATATATATTACCGCAGTGATATATGACCACCGGCGTCGTCCATCATTCTACCACCCGAAAGTTAGCAGAAAAGCAGCAAGAGCAAAAGGACAGCGAGACACGCGTTCTTCGGTTTTAATGAGCATGTACCGAAGACAGAAATAAGGGGGCGATCGTTTACAGCGCCCTCATTACTGTTATGACATTGTTAAAGTAGATGTCTACGACTTAGGTTTAGATGTAAGTCGTAAATCTATTCACACATGTCTTATATGTGTCCCTTACATCAGCTTCGAATGTGCTTGTAAAAATTACTCTTTTAGCAAATTATTTTTGAAATTATTTAGTTCGTACTTCCAAACAAGAATGTGGCTATTTATTATTTTCGTTAAATAAAAAAGAAGTAATTACTACCGGGATTACTTGATTATAACAGAGAAATTTCGTGGTAGAGTCACTGCAGTATAGTTGTAGTACGAATGGGTCGGCTCTACCGGGGAAGGACCACGCTCTCACAGAATACCAGCGTAAAATAGTAGCTTAATGCTGCTGTGTTTCGTATGGCTAGTGTAGAGAACCGAAGACCCTTTTTACTGGAAACGAGGCGTTCCATCTTAGTCCTCACGGGTGCAATGCATCGCATTTTTAGAGAATAGATGTAGATGTCTATGGGCAGCAGCAACCACTTACCATGAGGTGGACTGTGTGCTCGTTTGTCACCCTATCCTATATAAAAAAAAGTTTGAATTATAAGGTTTTGGAGTTAGGAAAATAAGGAAATTAAAAAACGTTTATTAGATAAATATTGCTTGCAAATTAATTTATAGTACTACCTATATTATTTTTTTTTAAATTTCAATAAGGGTGACAAAACGAGCACACAGTCCACCTGATGGTGAGTAGATGCTGTGGCCCATAGACATATTCATCTATCCTCGATTAAGAAACAAAATGAAGATGTGGTATCACCATTAAGGACTAAGATGGAATGCCTCGTTGCCAGCGAAAAGGTGTCCGGTTCTCTAGTCACCATACGAAACACAATAGCATTAAGCTGCTATTTTACGCTGGTATTCTGTGAGAGCGTGGTCTTTCCCCGGTCGACCCATTCGTGTTATAACCAAAGTAGAGTGATACGTTACCACTTAAAGTACCTTGATTATATATCTTTTAGGTTAGATTAAAATTTTGTTAACATCTACTATAATATTTTCGAGATCTATCTTGCATTAGTTCCACGTTAGTTTTTATTATAAAAAATATAGTAATAAGTATAATGCGCCTTTCAGCAACACAAAAAATTTCTAAAGTTTTTACTTTCAGCATCTTATAGAAAAATTATTTGCCCTTATGTCGTGCATATTGCCTTTGCAAATTGAAGACTTTGATGACTCTATGATGGAACCTATTATCAGATCTTTACCAAATATTTTGGGACTGCCTTTTACTTTGAAAAATAATGATTAATATTTTGGTTATTCGTTTATTTTATAGAAAAGGATGTTGATAATCGGACAACATTGTAATGAATTATCCTTAAATATACGTAAAAAAATTCCAATTAACTGAGAATCAGTTTTTGAAGTCGGTTGATTATGAAAATACATTCAATAATCCGAAATCACAATCACAAAATTAAACGTGATATTTGTGTTTTTTCTTTATATATGAGGTACGTTATTATACGTATCAGGTAAGAACGTGAGTAAAATTAGAAGGGTTGCGAGTCAAGCATCCGCGAAGCCGCAATGCGCCGACGCACACTACGTCTTAATTAGACACAGGACGGAGGTGCTAACTCGTCAATCATTGTTCTCGGGCGACCGCTTCGATGCATCCACTGTACGCACTGTTGCAATTTTTGCAGACCGTACATCCCAATTAAAATCTTTTGTTTCACGCAATTTACTTCCATGCAAGTTAAATGAAGATTTAAATTATTGCATTTTAATATCTATAAAGTGGAAGAATAACGACTTTGTTCTTTGTCCTTTCAAAGGTTTTGTTATTTTTAGTTAAATTGCTGATTCATAACGCACTGATAACCAAATTAACGTAAGAAAACATGCATGTCTAACTTGAACATATTTTTGGGAAATACTTAATTCTCTTGATAGTTATTTACTCGTATTTAATCTTAATTAATTTAATCGTATTTATTACACTCTATTATAATATGCATATATATGTATTTATTACACTCTATTATAATGCTGCAAGTATATAGTTGTAGTACGAATGGATTGGTTCAACCGGGGTAAAATAGCATTTCAATGCTGCTGTGTTTTGTATGGTGAGTGTACAGAACCGGAGACCATTTTTCTAAATGAAAACGAGGCATCCATCTTAGACATCAGGGGTGACAACGCATTTACATTTTGATTCTTAATTGAGGATAGATGTAGATGTCTATGGGCCATAGCATCCAGTTACCATCTGGTGGACTGTGTGTTCGATTGTCACCATTATCCTATAAAAAAAAGTTAAAGGGAGCCTGTATATTTAAGCTGTCAATTTGCTATTTTATTAACTTCCCAGTGGGAAATTAATGTAATGGGTCCAATTTTGCATATTGAAATTTTTTTTTTTTTTTTTTTTATAGAAGAGGGGGCAAACGAGCATGTGGCTCACCTGATGTTAAGTGACTACCGCGCCCATGAAAACATATCTCTACGTTTCAAGGTCTTTAGAGT